ATCTCTCAAAATAGACAACTTTTCCCGTGCCATCTTTGCTCCATTCTCTTCTTGACTCATTGAAGTAACATTATGAATAAATTCGGGCTCAAAACACTTTGTTGGTTCTTGTGCATTAACAAGCTTTTGAAGGTGCAGTGTGAAAGCCTCTTGAATCTTCCTTGCCTTTCTTGTAATAATTGCTCCTTTGATATATGTAATTGGTCACAAATGGATTCGTATCAACATAGTTTGTGACCTAGTGCCACATGCTGATAGTGTTTTATTTAGTAGGCAACTAGATTGCAATGAATTGTTTGATTGTAACACTTCTACTATTGTAACACCTACTCCTCAAGACGTATATGATGTTGTGTGTGAGTTAGGGAAAAAGGCGCATAAGGTCAAGACAAAAGCATGTGAATTGTTTGAAAAAGAATCTTGTGTGAGAGAAAAGCATGAGATTAGTCTATGGCCTAAAGAGAAAAATGAGAGAAAAGCCAAGAATGTAAGCTTGTTTGAAAAAGTTTGTGATGTCAACTATGTTTTATTTTCCAAACAAAACATTCTTGATCTTTTGTACAAAGGCGTTTGTTATCTAACGGGAGAGCTTAAACCATGTTGGTCTAGTGTTTCCCTTGAGTTTTTACAGGAGGATAGAACACTCATTGAGAAGATTGAACCAAAGATTGCTTCCAAAGTACAAAATGACAGTCAATATGTGGTTTACAAGGCTGAAGCATCTCGTGAGAAGCAAAAGTCCCAATTTGCTTCTAAATTCATTCATTGAAGGAAGTATACAATGTTCAAGCCGGGTGATTGGATTTGGAGACACTATTGGAAGGATCGCTTTTCTTTTGGAAGGATCGCTTGTAATTGGGTTTGGAGACACTACAGTCAACATGTAGAGATATACATTTGACTTTTGATGATTTTAAGAGTGCTCTAGACGGCGAGTTTGATGAAGATTACATATTCAATGCTGCTGATTTCCGTCCATTTGATGTAGGAGATCCTTTTGATTCGAGGACGAATCCTTTTGAAGAAGGGGAGGATGATATGAACCAAAGTATCTTAGTGCTCAAGGATTTAAAGGAAGATGTTGGAGAATCCTATGTCCAAGTTGACAACAAATCGGAGTTGCATTAAATGCACTCTAGTTTCATTTATGGCCAACTCAAGTTGCATTCATGGAAGTCAAAGTGACCTCAAGATGCATCCAATGAACTTAAGTACATCTCAAGCTTCATTTATTGCAAGTCATACATCAATTAATGGAACTACACTTCAAACTACTTCAAGTGAAGCTTCATTTACAATTTGGAGGTTACAAAGACTTTGAAGGGTGACCAAGACTTCAATTCTCGGATTTAAACCTATTTTTATYATATTTTCAGTTTTMAACATTTCATTTATGTGTTTTAAGTTACAYTTTAGCTAGTGGATGTTATGGCCATCATGTAATTGGGAGTTACAACCTTTCAAATGCCTTTAGGTTACTTTTAGGGTTGTTTTGGAGGCTATAAATAGCCTAGTTTGTTTCCTTTGAAATACAGATTTTGATGATGGAATGAAAGTTGCGATTTTGCTTCAAAAAGCCTAGAGCTTGTTTTTCTTTGCAATTCTTGAGTGTTAGATTTGCATACTAGAATCATTCAAGTAGCCTTGATCAAGCTATTTTGTGGAGTGGTTCGAATCTTGAGTTTAGAAACAAGTTTTCTCTACTCTTGATATTGATCATTAAGATAAATCCGTTCTAACTTCTTCCTTGGGTTGACATCATCTTGATTTGGGGGTTTTAGCATTTGTGATATAGGGGTTTGCATAACCATAAGGGTTCTTAGATCCAATTGGCTATTGTTTTCTTATCATAACGAAACACTTTCATTAGAGTCCTACTACTTGCTTACTAAGCCATGACCCATGCAACATTCAACTCACAGCCAAGTTCAGTATGCTTCCATAACCAAAAACAACAAGCTAATAACTAAACGATATGTTCAACAAATTTCTCTAAAATTATTTCAGTATGCTTTTATAACTACAATTAAGCATTGAGACCAACAACACAAAGTTAATCAATCACATCCAATCAGTACCAACATGATTTCGTCCAAAATACTCATAATCACTAACATTCACAAGTAGATAATCAACATACATATTATTGGATAATAAAACACACAGAACACGCCAAACAATTCATGCATATTCAAACAAAAAACATCCCCACAAGTAAGAACTACTTACAAACAAATGTCCTAAAGCTCCTAAGCTTGTTGAACAGTTCCTAAAAGAAAGAGAGTACGATCTCGAGGTTAGTAGCCAATTAGAAACATTTAAATATAATTCAAACCAAGTTTAGGTGAGTTGTTACCTAGTAACTCACACTACAACAACTTAGGTTAGGAGTGTGTAGACGCCGAGTAGGTTCGGGCTCCCAACATCGACTTCGAATGGCCTTAAGTTTGCTGTTCCGATGTCAAAAAGCGATGGGTAATGCTGGTTTGGGTCAGATTTGTGGTGGGTAAACGCCGAACCAATGACAAAGATGGTGGGTATCATGAATTGAGCTTCGAGTAGGAGTGGGTAAGTGTCAAAACTTGCCGAAATCCTATTTAATTGCTGCTGGTCGTGGGTTGCTGTAGAACTTGTCAGAATCACGTCGACAATAATCGGAAACACTGCAGACGCACGCTTATCATCGCAGAACAGCCACCAGAGGAAAGCGCAGCCACTGAAATGTCGTGGGAGCGTCAGGTCTGCTCGATTCTTGCCGCTACAGGTCTGTCGTTCACCGCCCGCTACCGCCCAAGCTGCAGTGAGAACAGCACCAAGGGTCGTTGAAGGAACATCGGAGGAGGTGGAATATGCACCGCCGCTACTGGTTCAAGGAGACGCCTCCGCTGCCTCGCTGGAAGTCGTGGCACACGTCGCTGCTTGCTACTGGATCTTCGTGGGTGTTGCCAAAAAATCGAACCGCCGTTGTTGCTACTGTCGTGATCACCGGAGAAGAAATCTCAAAGAAGGGAGTGGCAGCTAGGGGAACAAAGGAAGGGGAAGAAGAAGAAGATGGGGCTAGGGTTATTTGTTTGTTTTCCTTTTCGTTAACTCTCCTTTTTTTTTACTAGAACTAAATATGATGTCACCAAAAGATTTTATGATCCAATGAATACGATTTTCTTCTCCTAATCCTTTTATTAAAATGAAACTCATTTTAAAAATATTTTGGAATTTATTGAGAGATTAACTTGATTTTAAAATCCAATAAAAAAAATCCAAAAGAGAGAATTAAATTTCCAAAATTTTGGATTAAAAAAAATCTCTTCCCAAAATTTGAAAAGTTAATTTTTCTGGAATTAAACTTAAATTCTAATTTACCCAAAAATAKGACTTCAAAATTAGAAGATCGAAGAATTTAAATTAACAGCTTAAGGGAAAATCTAAAGGCTCGATTTAAACCTTAAAATAAAAATATCCTGAAAACTCTCGGTGTTATACTGTAGATGGTTCCGGGGTGCTGCAAGCCATAGAGGCCGAGGAGGCAGCACCGCAGCGTTGTCCTGCCATGCGCGCGCGTGGGCGCTTTTGCATTCGTAGCACCATGGTGCTGGGGACAGCGTCATGGTGCTATTTGAATGATTATAAATACTACACTCGGGTTTTAGGGTTTTCCTATCGAAAGAAGGGTTATTTGCAGCCGACTTTGAGAGGGTTTTTGCAGCATATTAGTGGCAGCGGCTCGGGTCTTGACAGAGACATTGGGGCTAATCAAGATCAACATATTTGTGGTAATTAAATCTTGATTCTTGTGAGTTTTTCATTCTTGTACCTAAGTATTATTTGTGTAAAATACTTAGAAGTTAGGGGTTTTGTTGAGACCTCTATGGGATATTTTTTCGGAAAGTTTTGTATCCAATCCTTAAACAATTATTAGTGAATTACCCACATCTGAGTGGAAGACTGGACGTAACCCTTAGTAGTGAACTTGTATAATTTATTGTATCGTTATTCTTGTGCTTTTATAGTTTTCTTCCATTTGTATATTTTTTGTTGTGTTTGGATATTTTTGTGGAAGGATAAATTATAGAGAGGACCGTTAATGTCAACAATTACACTGTAAATGTAATTGCTTTAACCGGTTCAAAGACAACATATAAAAAATCGTTAAACGGTAACAATCATGAATACAGTGGTTCCAGACATAAATAAAATAACATTCACAACAGAGAATAAATACACCGGTTTCAGAATAAAATAGTCAAAACTATTCAAGTTTAATAATAGTTACAAATTTAATTTTCCGATATTAAATTTGTAATTACTCTCTGGTCTTCCATCATTTTTTAAATTCAAATGATCACTTTCTTTGACAAATTTACATAAAAATCCAGCCGTCCAATTAATAATATAAAAATATATTCCTAGAGTGCAACTAATCTCTCTAGAAAGTTGACTTTTGGATTTTGAAGTTGTGAAGAGACAAGCAAGTGGGTGGTAATGATTCCATAAAAGTCTTCATTTCAATTGAATCCTCCCAATTCGAGAGAGAAGAAGAAGAAAAAGAGAGAGATCAGAAAATGAATCGGAACTTGAGCTCTCTCCTGATAGGGCTGGTGGGTGCAGCCATCACGTTATCTGCTTATTCTCAGACATGGATTTCTCCAACAGAGTGCATCACAGTGGGTCTTCTGGTTCTCATTTTTGGTCTTCTTGTCAATGAAGGTCTCATCTCTCTTTAGCCTTTCTAATTTGTATATTTTAATTTCAATTTTATTTGTTTCCTCATTTCTCTCTGTAATTTCATTCCATTTGTATCGCAACTACTACTCCGCTCAATAACTTCCAAGATTTCATATCCATGATCATTTGTCAAATCTCTAATTTCCATATTGAGATAAGAGTACTGATTTTATTTTCTATATATTACTTTCCTTGTTTGATTACAGATTCCATATATATATATATTTATTTATTTATTTATTTGATTATTTATGTTAAATGTCTGTTGGGTAACATTTACGTTTATTTGTTTCTCATTTCAAATTTTATAAAGAAACTTGAGTATTCTGCTATGAATTATGTTTTCTTGTTTCTCATTCTTTGAAACATTCTCAAAATTTTAGGACCAAAACAAGTTTCTTGTTTCATGGTTCCTATTTCCAATTTGTTATATATATATATATATTGTTGAAAGAGAAATTCCGGCTAATCACTAAACGTCACGTCACAAAATACATTTAGGACCAATGATAAAATTACACGTGTCCTAAATTAATTTTAATATTGACGAATCTAATTATGCCACGTGTCTCTCTTATGGCTGTCCGATGAAATCAACTAATTGGATCAAAACTCATAAAGAGACTGGGCCCAAGTCCATGGCCCATTAAGCCCATGGCCCATATAAAACTCACCAAGACTCTATAAATAGAGGGGATCACCCTCATTGAGGGGGGAGATAGAAGAATTGGAGATTCAGAGCACTTAGAATTATCTACAATCGTTCATAGTCAAGTGAAGCATCCAAAGCCAACAAGACTTGAAGAATTGGAGACTTGAAGAGTACGAGACTTCAAGAACATTGGATATTATCTTCCCAAGCAACAATACTTGAAGACTCCATCAAACTGCAAAGTCTTCATCAAATTGGCCGGAGAACTTCAACAAGCTGCAAAGCCGAAGCACCTCACAAGTTGCAAAGCCGAAGATTTCATCAAACATCCAGTTTCACAGCCGAAGATTGTAAAGATTCTTCAATACGCTCAAGACTGAAAGTGACAACCTCCTTGATTCGAGAACAAGTTCATTAACCCTTGAAGCAAGTTTACGTCAGAGAGAATTAATCAGAGGATTATACATTAAAGATCGTAACAGTCACATACATAAATACAAATACAAGTTCATTAATTCGAGTGTTCTCTTGTTGAATTTCTCGTCGAACAAATTGGCACGCCCAGTGGGACCTCTCTACCTCTCATCTCTTTCTCTCAAACCAAAGTAATAGCATCCAAGGAAGCTCCATCCACCATGGAAGAAAAGTTGGTAGAAATGGAGAAGAAACTTGACATGCTGACAAAAATGGTCGAAGAGAGGGACCATAAGATTGCTTCCCTTATGAACCAGATCGAAATTCAAGATGTTGCAAATGTCGCTGAGTCAAGCCAAAATCACGCTGTGAAAGTCAGCGACAAAAGAAAGAACATCATGCAAGAAAAACAACATGAACACTCTGTTTCAGTTACTTCACTATCTGTCCAGCAGCTCCAAGATATGATCACAAATTCGATCAGAGCTCAATATGGCTGACCTTCTCAAAACTCCCTCACGTACTCCAAACCGTATACCAAGAGGATCGATAACTTGATAATGCCTATGGGATATCAGCCTCCAAAGTTCCAACAATTTGACGGAAAGGGCAATCCTAAGCAACATATTGCTCATTTCGTTGAGACATGTGAAAATGCTGGCACTCGAGGAGATCTACTCGTCAAACAATTCGTCCGAACACTAAAGGGCAATGCTTTTGACTGGTACACAGATCTAGAGCCTGAATCCATCAACGGTTGGGAGCAATTGGAAGGAGAGTTCTTAAATCGCTTCTACAGCACAAGGCGAACCGTAAGCATGATGGAACTCACCAACACTAAGCAACAAAAAGATGAATCTGTTGTTGATTACATCAACCGGTGGAGAGCTTTGAGTGTCGACTGCAAAGATCAACTAATGGAATTATCTGCTATCGAGTCGTGCATTCAAGGTATGCATTGGGACTTCTCTACATCCTTCAAGGAATAAAACCCCGCACGTTTGAAGAATTAGCAAGCCGCGCCCACGACATGGAGCTAAGTATTGCTAATCGAGGAGATAAAGATCTTTTAGTCCCTAACTTAAAGAGAATAAACAAGAATTCTGAGACGACTCTTGAAGAATCAATGGTTATCAACACAACTTCTCTCGAGTCTTATTCAAAAAGAAAGGATAAGAAGGTCGGAAAACAACAAGAGAATGAAAGGCGTCGTCTAACTCTAAAGGATAGACAAGAAAAAGTTTATCCTTTTCCTGATTCTGACATCTCTGACATGTTAGAACAACTACTAAAAATGCAATTGATCGAACTCCCTGAATGCAAACGACCAGAAGACACGGGAAAAGTAAACGATCCAAACTACTGCAAATACCATAGAGTTGTTGGCCATCCAGTGGGGAAATGCTTCGTCTTAAAGGAACTAATTCTAAAGTTAGCTCAAGAAGGAAAAATCGAGCTGGACATTGATGAATTAGCTCAAGCAAATCATATTGGAGTAGCGACAAACACATGCAATCAAATATGCTCAAAGTCATTTCATGGTCAAAATGTGGAAGAATTTGCAACTACACATTACATAAATGTGAAAGAAGTCAATGATTCAAAAGAAATCAAACAAAAGACTTCTATCTTTGATCGCATCAAGCCTTCAACTACTCGAGTTTCAGTCTTCCAAAGAATGAGTATGGCCGCGATGAAAGAAGAAAATCAATGTTTGACTCGACCTTCAGTCTTCCAAAGGTTAAGTGTCTCCACATCAAGAAAAAATCAAGCTTCAACATATACTTTGGATCGTCTTAAAGTGGGGGCAAATGATCGAAACAAAGGAAGGATGAAGATCTTGGAGACGAAAAAATTTGATGGCAAAAGGATTCACAGCCTTGTTCTTTCACGTATGAAGAGAAAATTATCTCGTCATAAGTACGGAAAGTTGCTTGAAGGTGAAGCAAAGTCTTGTCATTTCAGTCAATCCTACAAATGAAGGATATGGTCAAAATCATGACATTTGAAATGTAACGCTCCTTATCGCAAGAGCCTAAACTGCACGATACTCCTAGCCCACATGAGTTTAAAAGGTGAACGGTCAAAAAAAAAAATTTGCAAATGAACTACGTTATGACTTGATCCCTCTCTTTAAAAGGGTACGTAGGCAACTTAAAGAAAATTCTAAGTTCAGTCCAAGTTCATTAAAAAAAAATTTACGTTCTAAAAAAAAAGGGCGACGCTACAGTGACGCTACAGGACAAATACGGTATTCAGCTCTATTGTAGGCTAGTTTTGTAGTAGAATGAAGAATGATCACTGAGGGCATACACCATCAAAGTAGTTTTTGCTCCTCATGATAGGTATCATCCCGCAAACTTGAACCTCCTTGATCATTGGCGAAGAAGTTGTACTCGCTCGATCCTTGGCGAAGAAGTTACACCCGCTCGATCATTGGCGAAGAAGTTGCACCCGTTCGATCGTTGGCACTGCACCTGCTGGATCGTTGGCGAAGACGTTGCACTCGCTCAAACGTTGGCGAAAAAGTTGCACCCGTTTGATCGTTGGCGCTGCACCCGTTGGATC